GACTAACTGACTGAGTGACTGACTGAGTGACTGACTGAGTGACTGACTAGCTAAGCCTCTACACCAATGACTGACTGACTGAGTGACTGAGTGAATGACTGAGTGACTGAGTGACTAGCTAAGCCTACCAATGACTGACTGACTGAGTGACTGACTGAGTGACTGACTAGCTAAGCCTCTACACCAATGACTGACTGAGTGACTGAGTGAATGACTGACTGAGTGATTGACTGAGTGACTGACTGACTAGCTAAGCCTCTACACCAATGACTGACTGAGTGACTGACTGAGTGACTGACTGAGTGACTGACTAGCTAAGCCTCTACACCAATGACTGAGTGACTAACTGACTGACTGACTAGCTAAGCCTCTACACCAATGACTGACTGACTGAGTGACTGACTGACTGAATGACTGAGTGACTGAGTGACTAGCTAAGCCTACCAATGACTGACTGACTGAGTGACTGACTAAGTGACTGACTAGCTAAGCCTCTACACCAATGACTGACTGAGTGGCTGAGTGACTGAATGGCTGACTGAGTGATTTACTGAGTGACTGACTGACTAGCTAAGCCTCTACACCAATGACTGACTGACTGAGTGACTGAGTGACTAGCTAAGCCTACCAATGACTGACTGACTGAGTGACTGACTGAGTGACTGACTAGCTAAGCCTCTACACCAATGACTGACTGACTGAGTGACTGACTGAGTGACTGACTAGCTAAGCCTCTACACCAATGACTGACTGACTGAGTGACTGACTGAGTGACTGACTAGCTAAGCCTCTACACCAATGACTGAGTGACTAACTGACTGACTGACTAGCTAAGCCTCTACACCAATGACTGACTGACTGAGTGACTGACTGAGTGACTGACTAGCTAAGCCTCTACACCAATGACTGACTGACTGAGTGACTGACTGAGTGACTGACTAGCTAAGCCTCTACACCAATGACTGACTGAGTGACTGAGTGACTGAGTGACTGACTGAGTGATTAGCTAAGCATCTACACCAATGACTGAGTGACTGACTGAGTGACTGACTGACTAGCTAAGCCTCTACACCAATGACTGACTGACTGAGTGACTGACTGAGTGACTGAGTGACTGACTGAGTGATTAGCTAAGCCTCTACACCAATGACTGACTGAGTGATTGAGTGACTGACTGAGTGACTGAGTGACTGACTGAGTGACTGACTGACTAGCTAAGCCTTTACACCAATGACTGAGTGACTGAGTGAGTGACTGAGTGACTGACTGACTAGCTAAACCTCTACACCAATGACTGACTGACTGACTGAGTGACTGAGTGACTGACTGAGTTTCCCGAGCGACTAAGTCGGTCCCCACTAAGTCACCTTGGTCGCCTGCCTGCCGGCGTTGGCGGTGCTTTGGGGGTCACTCAGTCAGTCACTGAGTGACTGACTGAGTGACTGAGTGACTGACTGAGTGAGTGACTGACTGAGTGACTGAGTGACTGAGTGAGTGGGTGAGTGACTGAGTGACTGAGTAAGTGACTGAGTGACTGACTGAGTGACTGACTGAGTGACTGACTGACTGAGTGACTGAGTGAGTGGGTGAGTGACTGAGTGACTGAGTGAGTGACTGAGTGACTGACTGAGTGACTGAGTGACTTAGTGACTGACTGAGTGACTGACTGAGTGATTAGCTAAGCCTCTACACCAATGACTGAGTGAGTGACTGAGTGACTGACTGAGTGACTGAGTGACTGACTGAGTGAGTGACTGACTGAGTGACTGACTAGCTAAGCCTCTACACCAATGACTGAGTGAGTGACTGAGTGACTGACTGAGTGACTGAGTGACTGACTGACTGAGTGACTGACTGAGTGACTGACTAGCTAATCCTCTACACCAATGACTGAGTGACTGACTGACTGAGTGACTGACTGAGTGACTGACTAGCTAAGCCTCTACACCAATGACTGACTGACTAACTGACTGAGTGACTGACTGAGTGACTGACTGAGTGACTGACTAGCTAAGCCTCTACACCAATGACTGACTGACTGAGTGACTGAGTGAATGACTGAGTGACTGAGTGACTAGCTAAGCCTACCAATGACTGACTGACTGAGTGACTGAGTGACTGACTGAGTGATTAGCTAAGCCTCTACACCAATGACTGAGTGAGTGACTGACTGACTGACTGAGTGACTGAGTGACTGACTGACTAGCTAAGCCTCTACACCAATGACTGACTGACTGAGTGACTGACTGAGTGATTAGCTAAGCCTCTACACCAATGACTGAGTGAGTGACTGACTGACTGAGTGACTGAGTGACTGAGTGAGTGACTGAGTGATTAGCTAAGCCTCTACACCAATGACTGAGTGAGTGAGTGACTGACTGAGTGACTGAGTGACTGACTGAGTGAGTGACTGAGTGACTGAGTGACTAAGTCGGTCCCCACTAAGTCACCTTGATCGCCTGCCTGCCGGCATTGGCGGTGCTTTGGGGGTCACTCAGTCAGTCACTGAGTGACTGACTGAGTGACTGAGTGACTGACTGAGTGATTAGCTAAGCATCTACACCAATGACTGAGTGAGTGACTGAGTGACTGACTGAGTGACTGAGTGACTGACTGAGTGATTAGCTAAGCATCTACACCAATGACTGAGTGAGTGACTGAGTGACTGACTGAGTGACTGAGTGACTGACTGAGTGATTAGCTAAGCCTCTACACCAATGACTGAGTGAGTGACTGAGTGACTGAGTGAGTGACTGAGTGACTGACTGAGTGACTGAGTGAGTGACTGAGTGACTGACTGAGTGACTGAGTGACTGACTGAGTGATTAGCTAAGCCTCTACACCAATGACTGACTGAGTGAGTGAGTGACTGACTGAGTGACTGACTGAGTGACTGACTGAGTGACTGAGTGACTGAGTGACTGAGTGAGTGACTGAGTGAGTGACTGAGTGACTAAATCGGTCCCCACTAAGTCACCTTGATCGCCTGCCTGCCGGCGTTGGCGGTGCTTTGGGGGTCACTCAGTCAGTCACTGAGTGACTGACTGAGTGACTGACTGAGTGACTGAGTGACTGACTGAGTGATTAGCTAAGCCTCTACACCAATGACTGACTTAGTGACTGAGTGACTGACTGAGTGACTGAATGAATGACTGAGTGACTGACTGAGTGACTAGCTAAGCCTCTACACCAATGACTGAATGACTGACTGAGTGACTGACTGACTGAGTGACTGAGTGAGTGGCTGACTGAGTGACCGAGTGACTAGCTAAGCCTCTACACCAATGACTGACTGAGAGACTGACTGAGTGAGTGACTGAGTGAGTGACTGAGTGACTGACTGAGTGACTGACTGAGTGACTGACTGAGTGACTGAGTGACTGACTGAGTGATTAGCTAAGCCTCTACACCAATGACTGAGTGAGTGACTGAGTGAGTGACTGAGTGACTGACTGACTGACTGAGTGACTGAGTGACTGACTGAGTGAGTGACTGAGTGACTGAGTGACTGACTGAGTGATTAGCTAAGCCTCTACACCAATGACTGAGTGAGTGACTGAGTGAGTGACTGAGTGACTGACTGACTGACTGAGTGACTGAGTGACTGACTGAGTGAGTGACTGAGTGACTGAGTGACTGACTGAGTGATTAGCTAAGCCTCTACACCAATGACTGACTGAGTGACTGAGTGACTGACTGAGTGACTGAGTGACTGAGTGACTAAGTCGGTCCCCACTAAGTCACCTTGGTCGCCTGCCTGCCGGCGTTGGCGGTGCTTTGGGGGTCACTCAGTCAGTCACTGAGTGACTGACTGAGTGACTGACTGACTGAGTGACTGAGTGACTGACTGAGTGACTGAGTGACTGACTGAGTGACTGAGTGACTGAGTGACTAAGTCGGTCCCCACTAAGTCACCTTGGTCGCCTGCCTGCCGGCGTTGGCGGTGCTTTGGGGGTCACTCAGTCAGTCACTGAGTGACTGACTGAGTGACTGAGTGACTGACTGAGTGATTAGCTAAGCCTCTACACCAATGACTGAGTGAGTGACTGAGTGAGTGACTGAGTGACTGACTGAGTGACTGACTGAGTGACTGACTGACTGACTGAGTGACTGAGTGACTGACTGAGTGAGTGACTGAGTGACTGAGTGACTGACTGAGTGATTAGCTAAGCCTCTACACCAATGACTGACTGAGTGACTGAGTGACTGACTGAGTGACTGAGTGACTGAGTGACTAAGTCGGTCCCCACTAAGTCACCTTGGTCGCCTGCCTGCCGGCGTTGGCGGTGCTTTGGGGGTCACTCAGTCAGTCACTGAGTGACTGACTGAGTGACTGACTGACTGAGTGACTGAGTGACTGACTGAGTGACTGAGTGACTGAGTGAGTGACTGAGTGACTGAGTGACTAAGTCGGTCCCCACTAAGTCACCTTGGTCGCCTGCCTGCTGGCGTTGGCGGTGCTTTGGGGGTCACTCAGTCAGTCACTGAGTGACTGACTGAGTGACTGAGTGACTGACTGAGTGATTAGCTAAGCATCTACACCAATGACTGACTGAGAGACTGACTGACTGAGAGACTGACTGAGTGAGTGAGTGACTGACTGAGTGACTGAGTGACTGACTGAGTGAGTGACTGAGTGACTGAGTGACTAAGTCGGTCCCCACTAAGTCACCTTGGTCGCCTGCCTGCCGGCGTTGGCAGTGCTTTGGGGGTCACTCAGTCAGTCACTGAGTGACTGACTGAGTGACTGACTGAGTGATTAGCTAAGCCTCTACACCAATGACTGACTGAGTGACTGACTGACTGAGTGACTGACTGAGTGACTGAGTGACTGAGTGACTGACTGAGTGAGTGACTGAGTGACTGAGTGACTAAGTCGGTCCCCACTAAGTCACCTTGGTCGCCTGCCTGCCGGCGTTGGCGGTTCTTTGGGGGTCACTCAGTCAGTCACTGAGTGACTGACTGAGTGACTGAGTGACTGACTGAGTGATTAGCTAAGCCTCTACACCAATGACTGACTGAGTGACTGAGTGACTGACTGAGTGACTGAGTGACTGAGTGACTAAGTCGGTCCCCACTAAGTCACCTTGGTCGCCTGCCTGCCGGCGTTGGCGGTGCTTTGGGGGTCACTCAGTCAGTCACTGAGTGACTGACTGAGTGACTGACTGACTGAGTGACTGAGTGACTGACTGAGTGACTGAGTGACTGACTGAGTGACTGAGTGACTGAGTGACTAAGTCGGTCCCCACTAAGTCACCTTGGTAGCCTGCCTGCCGGCGTTGGCGGTGCTTTGGGGGTCAAGCGATCCTGCACGCATGGACGCAGTCCCACACAGAGGCACAGTCAAAGGCGCCCCAGGTAGCTCTCCTGTTGGGGCAAGTGCCCTTGGCCAGCAGCAGCAGCGAGGGGAGCGGTGGTGCAGCAGTTAGCGCTCACGGCACTGCTGTGTGTGTGTGTCTGTGTGTGTGTGTCTGTGTGTGTGTCTGTGTGTGTGTGTGTGTGGTGTGTGTGTGTGTGTCTGTGCGTGTGTGGGTCTGTGTGTGTCTGTGTCTGTGTGTGTGTGTGTCTGTGTGTGTGGTGTGTGTGTGGTGTGTGTGTGGGTGTGTGTGTGTCTGTGTGTGTGGTGTGTGTGTGGGTGTGTGTGTGTGTGGTGTGGGTGTGTGTGTGTGTGTCTGTGTGTGTGTGTGGGTGGCTGTGTGTGTGTGTGTGTGTCTGTGTGTGTGTGGTGTGTGTCTGTCTGTGTGTGTGTCTGTGTGTGTGTGGTGTGTGTCTGTGTGTGTGTGTCTGTGTGTGTGTGTCTGTGTGTGTGTGTCTGTGTGTGTGTGTGGTGTGTGTCTGTCTGTGTCTGTGTGTGTGTCTGTGTGTGTGTGTGGTGTGTGGTGTGTGTCTGTGTGTGTCTGTGTGTGTGTGTGTGTCTGTGTGTGTGTGTCCGTGTGTGTGTGTCCGTGTGTGTCCGTGTGTGTCTGTGTCTGTGTGTCTGTGTGTGTGTCTGTGTGTGTGTGTCTGTCTGTGTGTGTCTGTGTGTGTGTCTGTGTGTGTGTGTGTCTGTGTGTGTGTGTGTCTGTGTGTGTCTGTGTGTGTCTGTGTGTCTGTGTGTGTGTGTGTCTGTGTGTGTGTCTGTGTGTGTGTCTGTGTGTGTGTATAGTATATATATGTGTAATGTATGTGTGTAGTGTGTGTGTATAGTATATATGTATAGTATATGTATGTATAGTATATATGTGTAATGTATGTGTGTAGTCTGTGTGTGTGTCTGTGTGTCTGTATGTGTGTGTATATATGTATAGTATATGTGTGTATAGTATATATATGTGTAATGTATGTGTGTAGTGTGTGTGTAGTATATATATGTGTAATGTATGTGTGTAGTCTGTGTATATGTATAGTATATGTATAGTATATATGTATAGTATATGTATGTATAGTATATATGTGTAATGTTTGTGTGTAGTGTGTGTATATGTATAGTATATGTATAGTATATATGTATAGTATATGTATGTATAGTATATATGTGTAATGTATGTGTGTAGTGTGTGTATATGTATAGTATATGTATAGTATATATGTATAGTATATGTATGTATAGTATATATGTGTAATGTATGTGTGTAGTGTGTGTATATGTATAGTATATGTATAGTATATATGTATAGTATATGTATGTATAGTATATATGTGTAATGTTTGTGTGTAGTGTGTATATGTATAGTATATATGTATAGTATATGTATGTATAGTATATATGTGTAATGTATGTGTGTAGTGTGTGTATATGCATAGTATATGTATAGAATATATGTATAGTATATGTATGTATAGTATATATGTGTAATGTTTGTGTGTAGTGTGTGTATAGTGTATAGTATATATGTGTAATATATATGTATAGTATATATATGTGTAATGTATGTGTGTAGTCTGTGTGTGTGTCTGTGTGTCTGTATGTGTGTGTATATATGTATATATATGTATAGTATATATGTATAGTGAATATATGTTTAATGTATGTGTGTAGTGTGTGTGTATAGTATATATATGAGTAATATATATGTATAGTATATGTATGTATAGTATATATGTGTAATGTATGTGTATAGTGTGTGTATATATGTATAGTGTATGTATGTATATAGTATAGTATATAGTATATGTATGTATAGTATATATGTATAGTATATATGTTTAATGTATGTGTGTAGTGTGTGTGTATAGTATATATATGTGTAATATATATGTATATATAGTATATATGTGTAATATATGTGTGTAGTGTGTGTATATGTATAGTATATAAGTATATGTATAGTATATATGTGTAATGTATGTGTGTAGTGTGTGTGTATAGTATAAGTGTATGTATAGTATGTGTATATATGTGTAATGTATGTGTGTAGTGTGTGTGTGTCTGTGTGTCTGTATGTGTGTGTATATATGTATAGTATATGTATAGTATATATATGTGTAATGTATGTGTGTAGTCTGTGTGTATAGTATATATGTATAGTATATGTATGTATAGTATATATGTATAATATATGTGTGTAGTGTGTGTATATAGTATATATATGTGTAATATATATGTATAGTATATGTATGTATAGTATATATGTATAGTATATATGTATATATAGTATATATATGTGTAATGTATGTGTGTAGTGTGTGTGTATAGTATATATGTGTAATATATATGTATAGTATATATGTGTTATGTATAGTATATATGTATATATAGTATATATATGTGTAATATATGTGTGTAGTGTGTGTGTATAGTATATATGTGTAATATATATGTATATATAGTATATATGTGTAATATATGTAGTGTGTGTGTGTGTGTATAGTATATATATGTGTAATATATATGTATATATAGTATATATGTGTAATATATGTAGTGTAGTGTGTGTGTATAGTATATATGTGTAATATATATGTGTATATAGTATATATATGTGTAATATATGTGTGTAGTGTAGTGTATATAGTATATATATGTGTAATATATATGTATATAGTATATATATGTGTAATGTATGTGTGTAGTGTGTGTATAGTATATATATGTGTAATATATATGTATAGTATATGTATGTATAGTATATATATGTGTAATATATATGTGTATATAGTATATATGTGTAATGTATGTGTGTAGTGTGTGTGTATAGTATATATGTGTAATATATATGTATAGTATATATGTATAGTATATATGTGTAATGTATGTGTGTAGTGTGTGTGTATAGTATATATGTGTAATATATATGTATAGTATATATGTGTTATGTATAGTATATATGTATATATAGTATATATATGTGTAATATATGTGTGTAGTGTAGTGTGTATAGTATATATATGTGTAATATATATGTGTATATAGTATATATATGTGTAATGTATGTAGTGTAGTGTGTGTGTATAGTATATATATGTAATGTATGTGTGTAGTGTGTGTGTATAGTATATATATGTGTAATATATATGTATAGTATATATGTGTTATGTATAGTATATATGTATATATAGTATATATATGTGTAATATATGTAGTGTAGTGTGTATAGTATATATATGTGTAATATATATGTATATATAGTATATATATGTGTAATATATATGTGTAGTGTAGTGTATATAGTATATATATGTGTAATATATATATGTATATAGTATATATGTGTAATATATGTAGTGTAGTGTGTGTGTGAGATTACCTGGCTGGACGTGGTCAACTCCGCTGCTAACTGGGCGGTTGGTGGCCAGCCCCGTGGCCCCTCCCCCCCGCGTGGCCCCTCCCCCCCGCGTGGCCCCGCCCCCCGTGGCCCCTCCCCCCTGCGTGGCCCCGCCCCCCCCGTGCTGACGAGCGAGGGCGGCCAGGGCGGCCCTCTGGCTGCCCACGTGGGGGGCAGCGCGGCCTGGAGGGGCGTGCGGAGCTGATTGGCCAGGCCTGGGGGGGGAGGGGGGAGAGAGGGGGAGGGGTGAGAGTGACGTCCAATGAGGGGGTCGGGGATGGGTGTGGCCTAGGGGTGGGTGTGGCCTCGGGGTGAGTGGGTTGTGGCCTCGTGGTGGTGTGTGGCCTAGGGGTGTGTGGGTGTGGCCTAGGGGTGTGTGGGTGTGGCCTAGGGGATGTGTGGGTGTGGCCTCGGGGTGAGTGGGTTGTGGCCTCGTGGTGGTGTGTGGCCTAGGGGTGGGTGGGTGTGGCCTGGGTGGGTGTGGCTTCGGGGTGGGTGTGGCCTAGGGAGTGTGTGGGGGTGGCCTCGGGGTGAATGGGTGTGGCCTCGTGTTGTGTGTGTGTGGCCTAGCGGTGGGTGGGTGTGGCCTAGGGGTGTGTGGGTGTGGCCTAGGGGGTGTGTGGGTTTGGCCTAGGGGTGTGTGGGTGTGGCCTAGGGGTGTGTGGGTGTGGCCTAGGGGTGTGTGGGTGTGGCCTAGGGGTGTGTGGGTGTGTCCTAGGGGTGTGTGGGTGTGGCCGAGGGGTGTGTGGGTGTGGCCTAGGGGGTGTGTGGGTGTGGCCTAGGGGGTGTGTGGGTGTGGCCTAGGGGGTGTGTGGGTGTGGCCTAGGGGGTGTGTGGGTGTGGCCTAGGGGATGTGTGGGTGTGGCCTAGGGGATGTGTGGGTGCTGCTCACCCAGCCCCAGCGAGGGTGTGTCCCTCTCCCGCTCGCTTGAACTTCACGTCCATGCGCAGTCCATCCAGCTTCTTCTTGAAGCTGTCCATGCCTCGTCACCTGCTCACAATCATCACCATCATCATCATCACCATCATCATCATCACCATCATCATCATCACCGTCATCATCACCGTCATCATCATCACCATCATCATCACCATCATTATCACCATCATCATCATCATCACCGTCATCATCATCATCACCATCATCACCACCATCATCATCATCATCACCATCATCACAATCATCACCATCATCACCACCACCATCACCATCATCATCACCATCATGACCACCATCATCATCATCACCATCATCATCACCATCATCACCTGCTCACCATCATCATCATCATCACCATCATCATCACCACCATCATCATCATCACCATCATCATCACCTGCTCACCATCACCACCACCATCATCATCACCATCATCATCACCACCAGCCCCACCATCACCCCCACCATCACCACTACTAAAGCTCCCCTAGGTAGCCTCTAGCAGGGCTGTAGGGGCAAGTGCTGAGTTTAGACACACAGATAAAGCTCCCCCAGGTAGCCTCCAGTAGGGCTGTAGGGGCAAGTGCTGTCACACACACAGACAAAGCTTCCCCAGGTAGCCTCCAGTAGGGCTGTAGGGGCAAGTGCAGTGTTACTCCCACACAAAGCTCCCCCAGGTAGTCTCTAGCAGGGCTGTAGGGGCAAGTGCAGTGTCTCACACACATACAAAGCTTTGCCAGGTAGCCTCCAGCAGGGCTGTAGGGGCAAGTGCTGTCACACAGACAAAGCTTCCCCGGGTGCTGTTGATGCTGAGTCCAAATGAAGATTATGAATGGCCTGGGTGAGATGGTGAGTAGGTGGGTGGGTGAGTGGGTGAGTGAGTAGGTGGATGGGTGAGTGGGTGAATGAGTGGGTACGTAGGTGGGTAGGTGAGTGGGTGAGTGTTTGGGTGGGTGGGTGAGTGAGTGGGTGTGTGGGTGGGTGAGTGGGTGGGTGAGTGGGTGGGTGGGTGAGTGGGTGGGTGAGTGGGTGGGTGGGTGGGTGAGTGGTCGGGTGGGTGGGTGAGTGGGTGAGTGAGTGGGTGGGTGGGTGAGTGAGTGGGTGGGTGGGTGGGTGAGTGAGTGGGTGTGTGGGTGAGTGTGTTGATGAGTGTGGGTGACAGGGTGGGTGAGTGGGTGGGTGTGTGGGTGAGTGGGTGGGTGAGTGGGTGGGTGGGTGAGTGGGTGGGTGAGTGGGTGGGTGAGTGGGTGAGTGGGTGGGTGAGTTGGTGGGTGCGTGAGAGTGTGTGGGTGAGTGGGTGGGTGGATGGGTGAGTGAGTGTGTTGATGAGTGTGGGTGACAGGGTGGGTGAGTGGGTGAGTGTGTGATGGGTGAGTGGGTGGGTGGGTGAGTGGGTGGGTGGGTGGGTGAGTGGGTGGGTAAGTAAGTGAGTGTGTGGGTGAGTGGGTGAATGGGTGGGTGAGTGGGTGGGTGGGTGGGTGGATGAGTGGGTAGATAAGTGTGTGGGTGAGTGGGTGGGTGAGTGGGTGGGTGGGTGAGTGGGTGGGTGAGTGGGTGAGTGGCTGAGTGGGTGGATGAGTGGGTGGGTGAGTGAGTGGATAGGTAAGTGAGTGCGTGGGTGAGTGGGTGGGTGGTGGGTGAGTAGGTGGGTGGGTGAGTAGGTGGGTGGGTGAGTGGGTGGGTGGGTGAGTGGGTGGGTGGGTGGGTGAGTGAGTGGGTGAGTGGGTGAGTGAGTGGGTTGGTGAGTGGGTGAGTGTGTGTGGGTGAGTGGTGCAGTGTTGAGTCTATGGTGCAGTGTTGAGTCTATGGGCAGTGTTGAGTCTATGGTGCAGTGCTGAGTCTATGGGCAGTGTTGAGTCTATGGGCAGTGTTGAGTCTATGGTGCAGTGTTGAGTCTATGGGCAGTGTTGAGTCTATGGGCAGTGTTGAGTCTATGGTGCAGTGTTGAGTCTATGGGCAGTGTTGAGTCTATGGGCAGTGTTGAGTCTATGGTGCAGTGTTGAGTCTATGGGCAGTGTTGAGTCTATGGGCAGTGTTGAGTCTATGGTGCAGTGTTGAGTCTATGGGCAGTGTTGAGTCTATGGTGCAGTGTTGAGTCTATGGGCAGTGTTGAGTCTATGGGCAGTGTTGAGTCTATGGTGCAGTGCTGAGTCTATGGGCAGTGTTGAGTCTATGGGCAGTGTTGAGTCTATGGTGCAGTGTTGAGTCTATGGGCAGTGTTGAGTCTATGGGCAGTGTTGAGTCTATGGGCAGTGTTGAGTCTATGGGTAGTGTTGAGTCTATGGTGCAGTGCTGAGTCTATGGTGCAGTGCTGAGTCTATGGTGCAGTGTTGAGTCTATGGGCAGTGTTGAGTTTATGGGTAGTGTTGAGTCTATGGTGCAGTGTTGAGTCTATGGGCAGTGTTGAGTTTATGGGTAGTGTTGAGTCTATGGGCAGTGGTGAGTCTATGGTGCAGTGTTGAGTCTATGGGCAGTGTTGAGTCTATGGGCAGTGTTGAGTCTATGTTGATGTCACTGCTGCTGATGATGTTGATGTTGTTGGTGATGATGTTGGTGATGATGTTGGTGATGTTGTTCATGTTGGTGATGATGATGTTGATGATGTTTGTGATGATGTTGATGATGTTGGTGGTGATGTTGATGATGTTGGTGATGATGTTGATGATGTTGGTGTTGGTGATGTTGTTGGTGATGGTGATGTTGGTGATGATGTTGATGTTGGTGATATCGTTGATAATGTTGATGTTGGTGATGAAGATGTTGATGATGATGTTGATGTTGGCGATGATGATGTTGATGATGTTGGTGGTGATGGTGATGTTGGTGATGTTGATGTTGTTAATGTTGTTGTTGTTGGTGATGATGACGATGTTGTTGATGTTGAGTGATGATGATGATGTTGTTGATGTTGAGTGATGATGTTGTTGATGTTGTTGGTGTTGTTGATGTTGTTGATGTTGGTGATGTTGTTGATGTTGTTGATGTTGAGTGATGATGTTGTTGATGTTGGTGATGTTGTTGATGTTGATGGTAGTGATGTTGGTGATGTTGAGTGATGATGTTGGTGATGATGTTGATGATGGTGATGTTGGTGATGTTGATGTTGGTGGTGATGATGGTGATGTTGGTGATTTTGATGGTGATGATGATGTTGTTGGTGATGGTGTTGGTGATGTTGTTGAGTGATGATGTTGGTGATGTTGGTGATGATGTTGATGTTGGTGGTGATGGTGATGTTGATGTTGTTAATGTTGTTTTTGATGGTGATGATGGCGATGTTGGTGATGTTGAGTGATGATGTTGTTGTTGATATTGAGTGATGATGTTGGTGATGTTGTTGATCTTCTTTAGCTATTTCAATGCTAAATTCTCCTGTTTGATATGTAAACCCCTTTGTCAAGGTGCCTCACTTCTCTAAACCAGCTTAAAAAGTCGCTACGAATCTTAACAACGTTCATTGAAGCTCTGTCGTCCTGATAGGTCTGTTCCTTTCACCTGAAGAAGGCCACTTGTGTTGTGGCGGAAACGTCGTGAGAATTTTATTGTGTTATTTTATTGTTTTATTTTATTATTTTATTCTCATTCTACGTAGTGGTGACTTTACCGAAAGAACCAAAGAAGATGAATCCTTGCAGTCACGAAAGATTTAAATCGTGATGTTGGTGATGTTGTTGATGTTGTTGTTGATGTTGGTGATGTTGTTGATGATGTTGTTGATGTTGATGTTGTTGATGTTGTTGGTGATGTTGTTGATGTTGTTGATGTTGTTGATGTTGGTGATGTTGTTGATGTTGTTGATGTTGAGTAATGATGTTGTTGATGTTGGTGATGTTGTTGGTGATGTTGTTGTTGATGATGTTGATGATCTTGTTGATGTTGTTGATGTTGTTGATGTTGTTGGTGATGTTGTTGATGTTGTTGGTAGTGATGTTGTTGATGTTGAGTGATGATGATGTTGGTGATGTTGGTGATGTTGTTGAGTGATGATGTTGGTGATGTTGGTGATGGTGATGTTGGTGATGTTGGTGATATTGTTGATGATGTTGGTGATGATGTTGGTGATGATGATGTTGGTGATGATGTTGGTGATGATGATGTTGGTGGTGATGATGGTGATGTTGGTGATGTTGATGGCGATGATGATGTTGATGTTGTTGATGTTGTTGGTGATGGTGATGTTGGTGATGTTGTTAATGTTGTTGTTGATGGTGATGATGGCGATGTTGGTGATGTTGAGTGATGATGTTGTTGATGTTGAGTGATGATGTTGGTGATGTTGTTGATCTTCTTTAGCTATTTCAATGCTAAATTCTCCTGTTTGATATGTAAACCCCTTTGTCAAGGTGCATCACTTCTCTAAACCAGCTTAAAAAGTCGCTACGAATCTTAACAACGTTCATTGAAGCTCTGTCGTCCCGATAGGTCTGTTCCTTTAACCTGAAGAAGGCCACCTGGGTTGTGGCCGAAACGTCGTGAGAATTTTATTGTTTATTTTATTATTTTATTTCATTTTATTCTCATTCTACGTGGTGGTGACTTTACCGAAAGAACCAAAGAAGATGAATCCTTGCAGGCACGAAAGATTTAAATCGAGATGTTGTTGATGTTGTTGATGTTGGTGATGTTGTTGTTGATGTTGTTGATGTTGGTGATGTTGGTGATGTTGTTGGTGATGTTGTTGATGTTGATGGTAGTGATGTTGTTGTTGTTGGTGATGTTGTTGGTAGTGATGTTGTTGATGTTGAGTGATGATGTTGATGTTGGTGATGTTAATGGTAGTGATGTTGGTGATGTTGTTGATGTTGGTGATGTTGTTGATGTTAATGGTAGTGATGTTGTTGATGTTGTTGTTGATGTTGAGTGATGATGTTGATGTTGGTGATGTTGATGGTAGTGATGTTGGTGATGTTGTTGATGTTGGTGATGTTGTTGATGTTGATGGTAGTGATGTTGTTGATGTTGAGTGATGATGATGATGTTGTTGATGTTGATGGTAGTGATGTTGGTGATGTTGGTGATGTTGTTGAGTGATGATGATGTTGGTGATGTTG